AATGAATTCAGATAATTGTGCGGTCACCATTGAACGAGCCATCTAAAATGACCTTATGATTGCAGAAAACTTATGGCTGAAACTCACCGTGTTTTTAGAGAAGTGTCATCCTTGTTGTTTGGCAATGGAACTCGAAAATTTGAAATTAGGCAGGCAGTGGTCGGAAGAAAAGATATTACAGGATAGTGTATAGTTTAAAACAGGATGAGGTAATAAGATAAGGAACACTGAATATTAGATCCAGGTAACTATTTAGTCCTTGCTGCATTGTTAGTCAATGTATATTTGCGTTATTTACTGGTCATATTTGCTAGAGCTTAATGCTTAAACAAGCCTATGCCGCTGAAGCATGTAAATGCTATTAAAGCTTGTTAACGAACTATCAAAGCTAATTAGTTAATATAGACGACCAGTTTTTATTATCGAATGAGCTAGTAAGTTATGTGAACTAATAGATATAACATTACGATAATATATGTGACCATTAATCAAAGGACTATTAGAATAGTGGGTTTACAAAAATAAAATCCGATTGAGAAGGTTATGGTGGAAATAAGGATTAACAATAATAGGTTGCGTTTCTTTAGTTGGGCTCACCAATGTAGAATTATGGTCTACTATGATATTAGTACTGCTCTAATAATAGACCTAATCCTGAAATTGTAGATTTGTCATGATATAACTGCCTAATCTATAAGATCTTACGTGGAAGTCACACCATCGGCTACATCAACTCACTGTATCGCATCAATTACCAGTACATTATATAGAACAAGGTTAGCCTAGAGAAGGAACAATATATTTAATATGAATAGAAGATATAAGGTAACATTCAGCAGAGACCACGCCTGCATGGCCGAGCCATGCCACTCGATCAACTCCAGTCCATTCAATTCATTCTCCGCGCCTTCTCCATTGTTAGGTATTTCCCCGAGTTAAATATTGAATATCTATTTTCTGAGTAGTCTCGTGTTCACAGCTTTGTGGATTGTGTAGCTATTGTCCAATGCCACTACATATCTTCCAGGCATATTTCAGGAAGTGATGAAGGTATTGAAGTTTACGAAGATTATGTTATCATTTATAGTTCTGACATTGTGGTTCATGACTGGAGACTCATTGCTTTATTGCGTTGTATAATTGAGAAGAATATTGTGGTGAATCCAAATAAGTGTTTATTTTGTGTATCTAGTTTTGGATATGTTGGATACTTAGTTGACGACGAAGGTCTTAAACCAGATATGTAGCGACTAAATCCACTGACGAATGTACCATCTCCAAAAAATCTTACGAAGCTGCGTTCATTAATGAGTTCTCTTTAATAATATTCCTGGTTTAATTACGAATTTTTCTTGTCGTGCTAATTTTTTAGTTATTCTATCCTGACTGGATAGAACACACAAAAGGAGGAGCAAATCAATGTGGCTACCGCCAAGAACAAGTGTCCAGTAAAATAACACAGATGCAGTTCGGGAAGAAACACAAACTTAGTGAATGCGTAAGAAAAACAAAAACTATAATAAAAAATAAAAGTATTAACAATTCAAATGTAATCAAAAGACAACAATGTACAACTAAGGTAATCAATAGGAACAAAGTACAAGTGCATACATGGAGGGATTTTCACCAACACACAAAACATTCAAAATTGATCTTCCAGTGTCAGTTGAGCAGTCTGGTGCGGAGAGGTGGTGTCTGGTGGAGTGTTCTGGCGCAGCGGTATTGGCTGTACCGGGTACTGCCGACTGAGAGGGACGGTTAGACGTGCGGCTGCTAGGCGGGCATTACATGTAGATGGCTTGGCAGGCCGGTGGAGCACGAGTGTTAAACGACCCAGGTGCCAGGTGGATGTCGGATGATGGTGCCCCGGCAGGTCGACGGAGCTATGAATGTCGGCGCGCCGTAGATTCAACATTTTGACTGAGGACGTAGCGCAACTGCAGAGAAGAAGGATGTGGCACGGCGGTCATGAACCACTGCAAGAACGACTGCTTTTAAAGAGGGGATGAGAGTGGTGTGTGCTACTTATACTGACATAAGTAGTTTATGATGCCACTCGTAAACAGAAGGTCTGGCAGCAGAGAGGCAAGAGGATCGAAAAGTACAGAATGGAAACAGAATGCAATTTGCATGAAAATACAAGAACAATGAAGTCTGAGTCATTATGAGACAATTGATGGACATTTCGCAAATTATGTATTTACTATTTGATTGTTAGATTTTATTAACAAGTCCTGTAATTGTGAGTCAAATACATTCGATTGTCCCCACTGGTGTTCTTGCTCACTACATTTGGTGTCGCTGCCAGATCTGCTTGGAGAAACTCGTTAATACTTTGGATACTCAATGCTATACAGAAATGTTGGAATGATGAACTAAGCAACAGATTTTCTGTCTACTTATCAAAGCGGGATGAGCTATCCACTATTCGTGATGATATTTGGTGTTCAAATGGTCGTGTTGTTATTCGGTCTTCATTGCCTAAATCTCTCCTTGTAGATCTGTGGAATTATAATCTACTATTGTATTAGTACTGCTCTAATAATAGAGTTAATTCTAAAACTGTAAATTTGTCATGATATACCTGCCTAATCTATAAGATCTTACGTCGAAGTCACACCATCGTCATCACCAACCAACTGTATCGTAACAATTACCAATACATGATAGGGAACAATCTTAGGCTAAAGAAAGAACAATATATTTAATATGAATAAAATATATAAGGTAAAATTCCGCAGGGACCACGCCTGCATGGCCGAGCCATACCACCTGATCAACTCGAATTAATAAAACTCATTGTTCCCGCATTTTCCATCGTTGAGTATTTCTCCGCGTTAAACACTGAATATCTATTTTCCGAGTAGTCTGGTGTTCACCTTTGAGGATTGTGTGGTTATAGTCCAATGCCACTACAGATCTTCATAGTGGACACTTAGGTGTTGAGAAAATGAAATCCTTGGTAAAGCTCACCTGTTGGTGGTAGGAAGTAAATGCAGATATATGTAGAAAATGTCATAAATTTAAAATTCAGCTCTTGAAGTGGACTTCATGGCAGTATCATCTGAGGCCTTGAAGAAAATTCACGCAAAATGTTGTGGTCCATTTCTTGTCAAATACTATGCTTTTGTAGTCATTTTTCGAAGTGGCCTGAGGTTTTTCTCACGACTTTACTTAATTCTGACTTTACAATCGAAGTATTAAGAAAGGTGTTTAGTCCAGAATGGGTTCCCATGTTGTTGGTGACTGATAATGGCTCTCATTTTGTTGTGAATGCAGTCACTACGTGGTTGCATGGGGTGCAGAAATCTGTTCAATGCCCCGAGACACCTTTGTTCTAGTGGTCAGGCAGAGAATTTCTTAGGACATTGGGTACTGCTATTTATTCTATTGTTGCTTCAACATTTAATGAACTGAAGAGGGGAGTACATACATTTCTACTGCGATATGGAAATACTAAACATTCTGTAATGGAAGAGACTCCATCAAAGCTATTAAAAGGAAGGATTCGTCTTTCGGATATGAGATGTTTAGGGTCTGCTGAATTTGCATATTATCGTGTGAATGATCTTCGACCAGCTCCGGGGATTGTGGTGAAGAAAGTCAGGAAATCTTTGGTCCGAAATTTAGATATCTATGATTTAAATAAGCACAACCGACATTTTGATCAAATATAACTCCAGGAGCCAGGTGAGTCTGCTCCTATTTCGGCTGTTGATTCTAATACTAATGAGTATGTTCTAGATCATACAGAATCTACATGCAATATACACTCTGACAGACATACAGTGAACGTAAGACATAAAATCGAATGCAGAAATTTAGATTGCAACTAGAAATGCGACATTAGCATGAACTAATGATTGTTTTGCACTTGATTGATTCCGAATTCTAAATTAAGTGCGTTCATCTGTACTCTCCTAGTTCCATTTGAATTGAATCGCACTATTTCGAGAAATCCCAGTTAATACAATAATTCGAATAATTCTAAATGTTATAAGACGTTAATGACAAGCAAAAAACAATGTTCTATTCGAAAGAGATAAGTCAGTTCACCCAGTCCAAATGTGAATATCAAAACAGCCAATCAGGATAGAGATTACTGACTGAAGAGGCCAGATAAGATGAGTTGATTTCATCTCGGTGATACTGCGAAAGCAAAGGGGCAAAGTTGTAAGTAAATATACATGATGACCTTCAAGATGCCACAGAAATTCAGTGTTTGTCAACGCTTTTGTATGTAACACCCTTCGAACTGAGGGATACCAACCTCATCAAATTGAAATTTTTGGATGAATGAACTTGAATACATATTTGGAAGGTTGTTGATATGTTGATATTAGTTGTATATAAGCAGGATTGTAGTTGCAAGGGATGAGTAGCTTGGCGTACTAACTCGCGACCTGGCATGTATGCGCGACCGGGCGGTTCCAGCTAGATTGTGTCCAGTAAAACTAATGAGGTCAGTGTCAATGTCGAAGACAGAGAACTATTTGCTTTGGTGATTTACTTACCACTACAACCTTGTCTCTAGTCAGAAAGCAGGCAGTGTATAAAAATTAGTGGATGGGTGGGGTGGTATTGTTTCTAGGGCAAAAAAGTGGTTGAAAAACAGGGTACATAGAGTAGGGATCTTCTCACCTGCACACATAAACACACATGAGTACAGACACTGGAGATCTGATAGTTTGTAGTAAATTTTGTATTTTCTATATTCCTAGAGACTTAAGGAGCTGAGAGTTCTGAAGTTGTCTCTTTGTTGGTCAACATATTATACATTTGTGCATATGTGGGACTAATTTTGCTGAAACTTATTTCAGTTTTTCAAGTAGTGGTATTTATTCTGTGCATTTTATCTGGTCTGAAAATCCCGTGACAAATTTTCTTGCATTTTTTCATGTGAAACAACGGCGAGTGTTATGATATGAAAATAAGTGATATCACAAAACTATTCGAAATACACGCTATGATCTGTTGTGCTTGTTTGTATTTGCTACTTCATAAGTAAAGGGCGCTAGGTTCGACGCAGTCTTCGCAGTTGGTTCGTCTATGGGAGAGTTTTGCTCTAAGCCGGAGAGTGGGAATTCTCAATCACATCCCGGTGTTCCTGCTGTTGGTACTCAACATGCTAGATCAAGGGAAAGCAATGTCCCGAGTGCTTCTGCAGCAACAGCTGGCTTTTTATCTAATATGTGTGACACAATATCCCGCTTACAATCCGAAAATCATTTACCCTCGAACGCCCCACCACCAGGTTCGCGGATTGCCCCCAGCCCTGAACAGGGTTATGCCAGTAGTATTATTCGGAATGGAAGGTCTGATAGTTTTCCAAGTGGAGGTCCGGTGCTCACAAGTAAGTTCTTTTTTTATCTTAATTTGCCTGACGAAAAATATATGTATATCTTCTCTGAATGCCAAATATTTAAGTTCCAGTCAGTAAAGATGTCGAATACGGTTGTTACGTGTTTGTGCTTGTCCTGTATGTGTGATATTAGGGGAGTGTATTCTATAGATTTGGCAGAGTAACTGGAGAAATGTAGAAGGACTCAACAAACGGTATGCAGACTAGTAACATTGTGCCATACAGCTTGTGTCCTGTCATTGTACGACCTTGATTTACATCTTTAGTGGTAATACAGATTTATGCAGTTTGTTTGGACCATCTATCTTAGGACGACTTATCAAGTGGTTTGGTTAGTTAGGAGTTTTGCTTCATAAGTTTCAACACTAGTTGAGTGGTAGCTTGCTTTTCATTTGGCTCTAAAACTTGCCTCGACTCGGAGTAACCGAAGATGCTTAGTGTTGATAAAACTGACGTCACGACGAAATATACATCATATAATCCTGGGTTTCATCCTAACCCCTCTAGGTGTCTTGTTACATGTTGAGCAAACCGTTTGTGTAGATGGTGATTTAGTCATTTACACTTGTTATCCCAATGTATTGTTCTTGGATTCATCAGTCTAATGATCTGCAGAGTTCAAGCGGTGTGGGACTTCTGGCGATTCTTTCTTACATTAGTTAGGAATGATGTACATCTGGCGGAAGTGCAGTGGGTAGTTATGAGATGCCAAAATACGTAATATTGTTACTGTTTACGCATTGTTGCTGGTCCTTAACGGTAGCGATTATTTTAGGATAGTTGGATGACAGCATTTCCATTCCATCAGTTTTAAGCTGTATTATCTGGTCTTACCACTTGTAGGGAAAATGAATCAGCATAAAACAAAATTAGTTTTGAAGGAATAAAAGAAGAGACGAGAGCTCATTATTAAAAAAATAGTTTGTATATGAAGTACAAGTAGATTTCGCTTACTGCGTAACCTTGTATTCCTGTTTAGGAGTGATTAAATGCTTCAACACGATAACCTTCAGCTTCTGTGTCAAATTACATTGGGTACCAGCGTTTATGCAGCCACCTGTGCGGATGAGCTCGATTATGTTTAGAAGGCCAACTACCGAGAGTAAATGCAGATACATGTTCCTGTTAGCCCTGTTAAAGTTATTTAACCTGGTGTTTACAAAGGATTGATTTCAGTAGCGTGTAAGCCAAGCATAACAAGACATCTTTGGGTAAATGATTTACACTGCTATGCACTTCTGGGTCACTCGCATGATGTGATGGGTGAGCCTTCAGAAATGTATGAGTGATCAACTATGCACAGCCTCACTGCTAGTTCCGTAAATAACGACTAAATGCGTTCAGATATTTCCTGTACAAAGTGCGTATATATCAAGTATTTTCGATATGTTATTCAACTTACTTTCCTCTTAAACATTTTGGAAAACAATCCTGACCAACTATATCAAAACTGACCTGATGTTAAGTTGCGACATTGTGAACTGTAGTGGTGCGCCTATACCCTCTTTAAACAAAATCATCTGTAGACGTTTCGCTAAATCTGTGCAGTATGTCGAAGTCGATGTTTGGGGTGTCAGAATATATGCATGCAATAATCACATGCAGTATGTATGCTTTTTTGAAGATTAACTTAATCATTAATACAAGGTGGCATCAAATATATATACACCCCCCTTCGTCATTCAATTTGTGACGGCTGGAATACTGCTCGGGCGTCCAGACCGAAACAAGTGGTTTTCTCAGGCCACTCTTCGAGCTTTCGATCTAGAGGTCTAACCCACAAGGCAGTGGAGCAACGTTCAAAGATGCAGTCCCTCGGTAGCCAATGATCAACAATAGGCTCATACATCATTTGTCCCCTTAGAATTCTGAAGCCCATGCGCACCATTGGTTTGGAATAGAGGTTTTACAATCCCCTAGGTGGATCCTCCATATCTATCAACGCGGTTAGAACGCCGGACATTCGCTTTTCGTCCTCTCGACTTCGTAAACAACACCCTCGGGTTCGGTCCGGGCACCCGGGCAGTATAACAGACCTCACACAAACCAATAATATCTGCTACTGGCCTCATTGTTATTGTGTGGTGCATATACATTTGGTGCCCCCTTGTTACAACGTTTATGTGTTCAAATAAAGTGAATAATACCCTCCGCGAGAAGGCAGTGAGTAGGACTTGCCTGGAGATGGCTGTATACGCGTGGTAATGTAGGAGGATTTCGGAAAGAAGAGCGGACTCAATCTTGGCTGTGCCAGGGCATCTTGAGGTTTTTTAAAGATAGGTTTGTAAAACCAGTTTATTTCAGACTGGTGTATGTCACTTTAAACAACCCGACTAGCGTCCTGGGAGGTGTGCTACAAACCTCCAAAGAAAGCTCTGAATTGTTCTTTTCGTATCATCAATTTGATAGATTGTTTCACCTATACCCGGCTTTGGTTAGGGTGAAGTGGGAAAGCTACTGATATTTACTAGGCGAGGATGTTACGCCTATATCGAAGTCGTGTTCTAACCACTGGCTTTTAAAGTTCCTAAGTTCTCACTGAAAGTTTCTATAAAAAGGACTTATATATTGTTATACTGTTAGTTTGCCAGGATACATTATCACATGTTAGGTGTAAAGAAAGTTCAGAAATCTAGTAGCTACAAATTGCTGGTTTTGCTGAGTGTTTCATCTTATCCAAGTCACGAACTGCTTGTCGAAAATTTCGCTTATTGTGTTGCTCATCATCGATTCCTTACTTAAATCTTATTCAAAAATTTCAGTTTGTCCTCAAGGGCTTCTGGATAGGTGCTGAATGTAAATGAGGTGTTTTAACGTTTAGTTCTATGTCTGTAATTCATTTAACTAGTACAAGTACAGTACCATCCATTTTCTGACATCCCAATGTACAGTAATAGCTGAAATAAATGGAAAGTTTGTGTAGTCAGAGGTGAACGTTTTCGATGCGATCTTCACCATGATGAAAATCGGTTGTTAGAAATCCTATGACATTGAAGCATTTCGAAATAACACATTTAATCACTCTTGACCTTTAAATCCTTGACGTGCTGTTCCCTGTCCATTTCTTTCTCGCTTATTTCGCTACAGTTTTACCTTTAATCTCTTACAATTGAAGAGTGTAGTAAGTTTAACCATTAGGCTTGTAAAATTGTCTCGATCTATATGTGTCTTTAGTGATTGTGTGATTTCTTGAAATAAGTATCCAAGGTTATCAATCGAATCTTGTTTATATCTTTTAACTTTGTATTACATCAGCTGGGCCTCATGCAGGGTTGTTAACTCCGGAAGATATGCTTGCTGCAGCACAGATTTGTAGCCATCTAAGTCAGTCACAACTCAACGCTCTGGCGGCTGCTTACCATCAACAACAGCAACAAATTCAACGTTCCGTTGGTCCAACTGCTTCAGGAACTTCAACACTTGGTCACGTCCCAGGAATTACATTTGCACAGGCTCTAGCGGCTGTTACATCTGTATCGAAGTCATCATCTCCTACTATTCCTCTCAGTGTTCACAGCTCTCAACAGTCACCTCGATTGCCGGTTCATTCAGTTCAAACACCTATGCATCAAGGGAACCAAAAACGCCCCCCTAGTGGTCAGTCACAATTTCACTCAGGACATCCTATTCAAATGGGTTCAACTACATCTGGTAGTAAGTGTTGCCAATAATAGCTATTATGTTTTTCATCTGTTATGATAAGATGTTACTCTTTTTTTCTAGAGCTATTCTTAACTTACGCATTTGTATTATGACCAAGTACTTTACTGACTTCTGTGTGGTTCATGTGGATCTTGTTACTGGTGTTTTTATCCCAACAATGTTATAAGCTTCATGAACCGTGCAAGCTACGTTTTAGGAGCTGGTGTCTATCGAAAAAAACCTATCATGGCTATTGTAATTTCATCATTACATCACTTTCGATGCCATTGACAACGTTACAAGTTGCTCATATAGTCTCTGATAAATTTGTGTATATACTACCGAGCAAGGTAATTAGGATTCATTTTCAGTATACTGAGCACTCAGTCATACCAATACACACTTGTTTACACAGAGATTTCTAAGTCATTCAGAACATATATTCTACCTCACTAAGGTTACATGTAAGTTTAGGAGTTGAAAAAAAAACCAAATTTAGACAAAACGATCATTCTTTTTGAGTGAAGCTGGTTCGAAGTACTTTGCCGGTTTTCGGATTCGGTGGCTACGGGCGCTTGACAGCTTCCGTAGTTACTGAGTCACAGTGCATTTTTTTTACTTAGTCTTCGTCTATTTAAATCTTATGTAACCATTCATCCAGAATTTCAAACTGATATGCTCGATTATGAATTCCCACACTGAAAGATTTATTTATTGTCCCTAGTTTCTGATTCTATGAGTAATTCTATGTTCTTGTACGATCATCACAGTTTGAATAAACTGGCATGATTTAAAGTTTTGTCGTGGTGTGTTATGTGTGCCTGGTTCTACATCGTAGATGACTGACTGACTGCTATGTAGTTTTGTTTGTAAACAGTTACGGTTAAATTCAACTGACTGCATAAAGGTTAATTTTTATTTTAGCTCGTCCAGCTTCAGCGTCTCAGGCTGTCCTTCATCATCGCGGAAGTCATCCAGGTCCTTCAGGATTCGGGACAATGAGTTCTCACGTCAGTCCATCACAGCCAATTACCTCACATCTGGATCATAATTTGCACAATGCACATCATCAAACAAGGGCTTCACCATCACTATCACCCAGTCCTGGAAGCAATATTTACCAAGTTAGTGTTTTTTTCGTAGGTATCACCAAGGCAATAATTGAAATATTCTTTACTGATCCTTTATTAACTGTAAGGTGTAACAATTAAAAATAGAATGTATATATTTTTGTAAATATCTTTCAAGATTCCCTTCTAGTCAAAAAGTAAAGGTAACCTAAATTGTAGAATTAGCGAAACATTTACGTCGCCGGATATAATGATTTCGACGCTAAAATTGTTGCTTCACAGTAGTCCAGATACTAATGAGTTTGTCTATAATCTTATCAGGAGTTATCTGATGTATTCTGACATATAGCCTTTATCAAGTGTTGTTTGCTCGATATCCAAAATTGTAACGAGATTTACTTTAACAACAAAAGTTAGTTAAAAATGGCATCAACTGTTTTTCTCTCTTTCTGCTACACTCAAAACCTATCTTAATCAGACATATTTATTGTTTTCAGTGTGTTCAGTCAATCATAAGCAGTTTACGAATTGGCATAAATGTGCATAGCCCTCACTTACTGCACTACATCAGTGCACACACAGGAAGGAAAAATTTGTGGCAGAGCAGTCATTATGGTAGTAGTCTCGTTTATAACAAGAAGCATCACATAGAAAGAGTAACATTGAGGGAGTAAAAGGCATGAAAACTCAGGGTTTCGAGGAGAATAAAGGATGTGTACATCTGAACCATTGCGACATTTTGAACCTTATCACCCCACATCCAATCATTTTTGATTACATCTTAGTTAAGTTGGTACAAAACTTCAAGTTGTGGCGTTAGTAACGTGTCGAAAAGACATATTCATTCCCTTTTCAGTGGATCAGGTGTTCAGCTACATTTTGTACTGTTATTTACATACAACAACCTTCATGTCTTTCCAATTGCTGATTTATACATTAGACCTGTGTAAATGCTATATGTGGTATATACAGGATTTTTTTTCTGCTACTTGAACAGCTGACACATAGTTCTATGTCTGATTGTCGTCTTACCTTGTATTTCAATGACGTTCTAACTACTAATTGTTAGGCTACTCGGTTTTCATCTTTTTATACGCTTCAAACATTTTCAGAATCGTCGTTCACAACTGGCCCCCCCTTCAACTCATCCAAACAAAAGACCTCGTATTTCCTTAGGATCCCAGCTACCACACTCCATTTCATCCTTACCTTCTGCTCATGTAACAAATACAATTGCACCAGCTGAGATGGAAGCTTTGTTGGGAAGTGTTGTTGCTAGTAAGGCGATGGCAAGTATTGCAGCTGGTTCTAACTTTCTTAATCCAAACGCCTATTCTGCAGCCACAGAAGTTGCCGCTGCAGCCGCAGCAGCCCTCACACCTTTTTATACATCCATTAATAATAGTAGCTTATCGAACCCATCATCTGTCGTCACTCCAAATCAAGCTGCTTATCAACCGCATATTCAACATCATGGTTCATTCGGTAGTAATTCAACTTCTGGCACTCATTTATTCAACCAACAACATGTTTTGCCATCTTCCAGTTCGGCGTATCCAGGTTCACTGATGGGTACCTTACCTGGTTCACTTCTAACCTCGTACAATAACAGACCATTTCCTCATGCAACTGCGTCTACCCAGGCGATAACTTCCGGGCAAGCCCTAGTTAGTGCACCTGTCTTGGGATCACAAACTGTAACTAGTCAGCCTCCATTGTCACATATGCCAGCGAAAGCATCACATCCAACATCAGTCTCCCAAATCCCTTCTCGCCTGATTTCTGGCCATCTTCATCATCCACCTGCTGCTACTCATCCTAGTCAGGGCAGTTTCCACCAGTCAAACCATCCTTTACCACAACCAGGTTCTCAACATCATGTGATGGGGCATTCTAATCTCCCTCAGGGGAGTGGCGTACTTCGACAGCAGACTAAAGAACCGGCTTATCACCCACAGGTACGTGTTTGTTTCCTGATATTTTAAAATTAGATTTCGCCAGTTGTTTTGTACGACTGCTACTTCAGTGAATTTTTATTTAACCCAAATTCGTAATATTGTTTCAAAGCTTTTTATGTCGGGAATATTGACGTTTCTTAGGTCCATGTGAAGATTTTTTATTCCTATGTACTTGAACTCAGTCAGTCGGTAAAAACGTAGAACTTCGTACGTACGTACATCAGTTCGAGTTGCCATACCACATTAGCACACAGATACAATTGTCAATTCAAATTCCGTAGTGGTAGAGGTAGTAAAAGTATAAACAGTAATCGGAAAGATTAGGGTTTGAAGATGTTATTCAAAGAATATAATCCAGTGAAATAAATTTGGAAAGAGGAAAAAAGGGACATAAAGAATTCAGAAGATTAGACTTTGGGAGAACACAAAGAGTGGATGCACCTGCGCCATTGCAAACGATTTTGAGTCGTGTCATTCAGGGTCTCTAACCATCGGTTGCTATTACTTATTTATTTTAACACATAGATATTGGTACAAGGAGGCACCAAATACATATGCGCCACACAAATCTCATTTGATATGTGTGAGAGCTGTGATACTTCCCGGTTGCCCAGACTGAAGCAGGTGGTTTTCTTAGGGGGCCACACCCGGAGCCTTCAACCTGAAGGTCTAACCCACAAGGCAGTGGAGCATCGTGAGGAGATGCAGTCCCATGGTAGCCGGTGACCAACGATTGGTTCATACGCCACTTGTTCCCGCAGGATACTGGAGCCCATGTGCACCATTGGTTTAGAATCCGGTTAAAGCGCTGGTCATTCGCTTTTCATCCTCAATTTCGTAAACAACAACCTCGCCACGAGAAGGCAATGAGAACTTCCCTGGCGGAGGCTATATACGCGTGGCCATGTGAGAGCATCTCGAGAGGGAGAGAGGACCCTACTCACTCTCGGCTCTAGCAGGGAATTTGGGGGCCGGTTGCTATCATCTCGCGGTCCCCAACCAGGTAGTCTACACCTACCAACATGGCTCAATCCGCTTGTCAGTGACTTCATGGATTTGTGCTATGTTTTGGTCTGGCTGCCCCTAGCTTTCTTCCAACCTACTCCTACACCATAAAACATCGCACGTCGGGGCAGGCGGTGGTTGGGCATACGTTACACGTGTCCCAGCCATCTCAACTGATGAAGTCTCGCTACTTCATCAACTGATTTGCCATCTTTACTTAGTACCCGTTACCTAACAATTGCGTTACTTACTCGATGGTCCCAGGATATACGAGCAATGTTTTGAAGACATCTATGATCAAATGCTGGTAACCTACGAATATCCCCTACTCTTACCGGCCATGTTTCACTGCCATAAAGTAGGCCGAAGTGAACTGCTGCGCAATAAACCCGTCCTTTGGTTGATAGACGGATATCTCGCCTACTCCATAAATGACGCAAGTTTGCAAAAGCTGGTCGAACTTTCTTTATCCGTGCTGAGATTTAGTCACAGACCAGACCACAAGTTCTACGTTGTTACTGACTGACTGACAAGGGCTGATGAGACTTCCCAGATAAGTTAAGCGATCGACACGCTCAACTACTTCACTCCCTATCATTAGTTCAGGTGTCGATGCAACCCAATCTTGAAGCAACATTTTGCATTTCGAAGGGGAGAATCGCATCCCGAACATGCTTGCATTGTTGCTTAGAGTGGTCAGAAGACTTTACATTTTGTCAGCGTCTTCACCAAATAGAACAATGTCATCGGCATATTCTAAGTCAATAGGTAAATTTCCTGGTAAAAGTTCAACTCCTAGAAGTTTAGATGAGGAAAGTATCATCTCCAAAAGCACGTCAACGACAAAGTTAAACAAGAATGGAGAGAGTGGATAGCCCTGACGAACACCACTCGAGGTAATCAATTCTGATGACAGTTCGCCGTAAGCTCTCACTCGATCAGTTGTGTTCGAGTAGAGAGCCTTTATAAGGTTAATGTACTTCTTTTGTACTCCTTTCAGTGACAAACATTGCCATAGAACCTCACGATCAACAGAGTCGAATGCCGCCTTCAGGTTGACAAATGCTACTATTGTGGGGCGTCTGGATGTGTTTCTATGTTCTAGGACCTGACGTAGTGTGAATATCCGATCTATACAACCACGTTCAGGTCGAAAACTAGCCTGGTTTTCTCTAGTCTGCTCTTCACGAGCTTTAGTTAGGCGTCGAAGTATTATTGAAGCTAATATTTTAGACACTATATTAGTCAAACTGATTCCTCTGTGATTGTTACAAGAGGACTTTTGTCGTTTCTTAAAAACTGGCACAATCAGTGATTGAGACCAGTCAGATGGGATTACGTCCAGTTCCCAAATTCTATCTAAGACATCAGTCAATCTCACTGCTAATACTGGACCACCATCCTTAAAAATCTCGGGAGTAAAGCTGTCAGGGCCTGCTGTTATCTCTCGCTTCAGATTTCCTATAGCTTATCTGAGCATAGCTGCAACAGACAGTCGCCATTATCTGTTCTTTGAGCCATGAAACTATAAGATCCACCCAAGTGTCTTTCCCTTTCGCTTAGTTTACCTACTTGAGCAATAAAGTCACCAGCCACTATTACTACTTCAGAGCGCCTAGCTTTTCGGAGAAGTTCGGAAAGCTTTCTGTAAAGCTTATCTTTTACATCATCTGAGCTTCAGTCAGTAGGAGAGTAGGCAGAGACGACGAAGAGGCAATGACGAGTGTCCTTATCTTTCCAAGTCCTTACTGTTCCGTTTAGTCGGACAGCGCACAAACGACTGTCTACTGGGATCCAGTCTGAGAGAGCTAGTTCTGCCCTAGGACTCAATGCTGTACCTACGCCAGCGAGGCCAAGGAAAGCAGCATCAGGGCTTCCAGATACACGAAGCGTGAATCGAGTTGGTTCTTTATTTTGACATGGTGATGCCAAGTGAATGACGCTACTCCGATCCTATATGCGCGTTTCGGAGACGCAGCACATATCGATGGCGCGAGACTCTTAAGTCCTAGCTAAGGAAGCCTGCTGTCCTATTTGGCACAGTGTTCGGACGTTAAAAGCTCCTACATGTAGTTTGGAGCGTGGTTTCAGGAGACCAGGGATAACGTTCCGCGTACTCGAATCGTTTGCCCTAGCGGTACGAGGTGATAAAGGGACGTGAGAAGGGTTATTCGTGGAGACAAGAGAGTTATTAAGAGATGTAGGAAGGATTTGAATGTGACCAACTTGGTCTCGTATGCTGTTACGGGTATGTGGGCTGATATCGCTTCCCGGCTTCCCACACCGTGGAAGGGTATTTCTTGAGGAACCTGAAAAGGAAGTTGTATTAATGTTGGCCTTAACGACCTGGGAGAGTGACCGCAGAGCCCAAGGGACAACTGCTTGAGGCCGGTTGCGCACGGTCCTCTTGTGGGAGGTTTTTAATGTGTTAGCTCCGTTCTTCAAAGAACCTTACCGCCGGAGACGGAAATCCGTGAGGTAAGGTAAGGTGTGACATTTTTAGGATAAACCTTTTGTAACCCCTTGTGAGAAGGCAGCATCGCTGCAGTTGCTGGTTGTCCGAGGGAAACACCTTATTGTTGTCTCACCCCTCTACAGTCAGCAGTACGACTTCGCCCTCAGACCTCGAGTTGCTGCTTTTAGTCTTACCGTTCTCCAATCGACCTGCCTGGCATGGTAGAACCTTCAGGAACATATGTTCTAGCCAATATAGCTCGGTTGGGTCATCACGATAGGCAAGCCCGACCACCGCGTCAAGGTAGCAGCTACCGTCGGGCACTTGACCTCACACGTAGCTAACCTTATGCGTACACTATAACTTGATAAAACCGACTGGAAATTTATCAAACTGTCGACAACCAGCTTTACAGTTTGAAACTGAATTCTCAACTTACGCCTGATGTAGGAGCATAAACCACCCACCAACAATCTCCGTTCAACTATATCCTTTCCATTGGCTGTTGATCCTTTTTATATTTGCCTTCAATTTTCGGCCCAGTGTGTTCCTTGGCCAACCTTTTTTCCGTTTTCCTTCGTGATTCCAAGTTAGCGATTACCTCATGAAGCAGTTTGGTGACTTCCCCTATGTATGTCCTATCCACTTCCACCATCTTTTCCTAATTTCCTCTTCATTTGAAAGCTGGTTTGTTCTCTACCACAATAGGCTGTTGTTGATGATATCCGACCAACAAAGAACTTTGAGTATCTTGCTTAGACAATTGTTTATATACATTTGTATGTTTTTGATTATGGTTGTGGTAGTTCTCAAAGTTTAGGCTATGTACAACATAGCTGCCTTGACGTTCGTGTTGAGGATTCTGACTTTGATGTTGGCTTGCAGACAGTTGTTCCATATGTTCTTCAACTGTAAGAATGGTGCCCTTAATTTACCAATCCTTACCTTTACGTCTGCGTCCGATCCTCCTTGTTCATGGAAGATGCCGCTACCCGGGTAAATGGGTTTCCATCTCTTCCAGAGTTTCTCCATGAAATGTGGTTGGGTTGGTGTTCTCCGTGTCGTATCTGATGATCTTGGTTTTTTCTCTTGTGTATGTTGAGGCCTACTGATGCAACGTCTTCTGCTACACTAGTTGTTTTGACCTTCATTTGCTGGTGTGTATGAAATAGAAGACCTATGTCATCTGCAGAGTCCAAATCATCTAGTTGCATCCAATCTGTCCATTGTATTCCGTAATTCAGTCAACCACTAGAAAAGAGAAATAGTGAGAGTGAGCACTTCTGTCTGACTCCGATACTCATTTGGAATGCATCTATAAACTGCCCTCAATGCACGACTTTGCAGTTTAGTCTGTCGTATAAATTGCGGATGATGTTGGCGATCTTCTCAGCTACTCACCCCCCATGTTAGAAGGGGGATCAGTCTCATGACTTCCGAAGAGTATCGGCCTTCACTATGAGGCGTCGTAATTCTTTTGAATGAAGATCCTTCAAACCAGAGGACAGAGTTTAAATAGTTTGACTTGTTTATTCTGGTTAGCGTTGTTTGTCAAGGTTGCCTTCGATAGGATGCGTTTGCTGACCCAATACCCAACCCTCCTCCTTTACCTGGGCTTGGGACCATCGGTGACCCTAGAAGAGCTATAGGAAGAGTTAAAATTCGCCAATTGTTATATAATTCAAGTAATATGACGTGGAGAAATCTTAAGAATTTGATTCATCTGCATGCGTATTTATTTTCTCTTGGATCTTCATTGCATTTTTCTTGTACCCCTCTGAGGTACTATTAAATTTATGAAGGTGTTATAATATATGTTATTTGTTAAATCACTGCTAGATACATCAATTCAGATTGACTATGGATATAAAGTGAAATTTGCTTCACTTAATTCTCATTTCCAGGTGATTATTTTACTTTGGTTAAATTGATCATCACAGTTGTCGGTAACGTTAAAAATTAAATTAGTGTTTACCACAATCCCAAGTAATATAATTGTTCGTTGTTGATTTAAAAACACGTTTTCCAAGGTTATAAAATTTTGCTACCAGTCATGAAACTATCAGTCAGCTACAGCGGTGGACCATGTACATATATTTATCGGTCCAAGTTGCCACAACTCATTAGCACAGGATGAACACCAAATTCATAGAATTAGTTAGTAGTAATATGTAAAGAAAGATTGCATATAAGGATATGATACAGGGAGAAAGAACTAGTTCGTATAAAGAAAGGTATAAAGTAAGTTTAATCTCACGGTTTAAGGGAGAACAAATAGTGTATACACGTACGCTATTGTGATCGATTCTGTGCCATTTCACCTAGAGTCTCCAGCCATGGCTCGGGCCAGAAGAAAGTGACTTCAAGGACTGATGCCACGTTTTGGTTCGACCACACCTAACTTTCTTAGTATGCCAATGTAGTAAATGAATAATCTCAGCTTCTTACCTCATAATAATATGGCTTTTTTACTTTATGCTTATTAGAACACATACTTATGTAGCTAATTCCAGTTTCTATAACCATCTGTGAATTTCAGCACGGATGTTGTAGTAGTTTCCATTCTTTACCAACAAGCTCCTTATTAAGTCGCCTATAGGTACTAATCAGTAAACAATTGGTTGTTCTTTTCATTTTTTCTGTAGATATTGCAAATCTGTTTATGAATATTTTTTAGGTTGAAGCCATATCCCCTGCTCCTGATGAGTCTCGTCTAGTGGATGCCCAAGATGCAAAGCTTCATCGTGAAAGGGAAGAAATTAACCGTCAACTAACAGTATTAGATGCTGATATTAATAAACAAGAATCACATCTAAGAAATCTGTGTGAACGGGAGGCTCGTCTAACAGCTCGACTTGCGGTAGCACCTGCACGCGATACATCGAACAATAATTTGAACGGTAACGATTATGAAAGTAAATCAGATAAAGGGGATCTTGCTGTTCCGGAAGTATCTTTCACTTGTAAAACCGGTTTCGAACGAAATTACGAAAACCCAATACAGGTAATACTTTTGTAACTTTATGTAAATTGTATTACCGAGCATTTAGTGCTAAAAACAAATGTAAGGTCTATTAGCTGAAGTACGAGAGTTACTTATTATCAACCATTAATAAGTAAACTTTGTGTTCCATTAATTATGGTGAAGTTAAAACAAAATTTGAGGTCACTAGGTTCAGTTTTAAAAGTAATTATACGTGTCTGTTGCCATGCTAATTCGGAGGATGGATCAGTTATTGTTCGCTTTTATAGTCTCATATGGCAGTAAAACTAGCTGGTGTTTTATTTACAGATGCAAACTGTTTTCGTTGCCTTCGAATTGTATTTCTTAATTTCGTGCTCTTTTGATTTCAGGCAATTATTTCTGACAACCGCCAACGCACTCGTCAGCGTCATCTCATTTTCACAAGACTTTGTGGTCCCAAAGTTCGACCTGGACCACATGCCCTACCATTTTATCGCCAACCATCCGACTTATCAAGTGTAAGGGCTATACAATCCAACTTTCGCAACCATTTCCGTCCAAAACTTGTTGTTTATCTTCAAAGACGTCTCCGTGCTGAACAAAGTCGTATCAGTTTTTTGGCTCAACAATACGGACGAAATTCTAGAGTATGTTCATACATCCTATGAGCGTCGTATAATCGATTTTATAAGCGGGTATTCAGTAGTATAGCGTTTCTAATAATATAATATTACGACTAAGTATCAACATAACCCTAGTAGAATTGAGATATCACTGTGGATTAAATATGCTTATATTTTGTCACAAAGTTGAATTCTTTGTATTTCTGTATCGTATGCTGATCAGTCGGCATGGTGAATCCTTTGTACCGTTTCTGTTTGGATACATATATTTATTGTTTCATAATAAATTGTGCCGTACGGAATAATTTTATTCTAACGTGATTGTAATTAATGTTGTAAGTTGGATTTTCCAAATTATTTAAAGTGATTGTTACATCCCGCTTACTATACATCGTATACACCTTGATCATTCCTGTTCGTACCTGATAAATATGATTTTTAAGATATATGTAGAATTAACGATGCGCAGTACTTAACCTTGTGTTTTAATTATTCATATAATGTGCTTATTTATTTACAGATATTTACCAAAAAAATGGACAAATTACTCAGTACGACCAAACGTCGTCAACGTGATCTTCGTCATCGAGATATTTTTGAGAAAGCGATGCCGGAAGTTAAAAAAAATCGCGAAGACAGGGAGATGGGAAACACGGAATACACTAAACCAGGGATCGAGGATGGTATGTTTATTTTTGTTAAATTAGTTTGTGCTTGTCTTATATCATACAAAATCTTATGATAAGGTTTTTTATTATTGACTTGAACTTATGTATTTTTAACCCTCTTAGGTGAACATTATTGTGATGAGTCTTATTATTAACCCATTATCATGTATCTATTGTTGTACTTGGCTTCGGTTCACTCTTCAGTTGTGAGAACTAGTGATAGTTCTTGGTTGCCCAAACTGAATTAAATAAAGTGGGATTTAAACCTACGACTTAGTAGCTGAAATTTAGGCTCCTTAACCACTAAATCACTACTTCTCTTATGGCGTGGTTTAAAGCCGTGAGTACAAATCTACCCTTGCTGAAATATAAGTTTACTCATTTTCAAAATGAGGTATAAATAAGCAAACAAAAGGTCAGATCGTGACGAAAATTCAAGTATCTAACTGCTTAGCGCCACTTTTTCATCTTACTAATACCAATAGTTAGGATGGAGACCTGTTTATTTCTGATTGTGTTCCTGTTTTTTGAGGGACTGTTAGTGTGCTGTCAATAACCACCAAATCGGTATTAAAAATATCAAGATAATTCAGAATAGTTTTTCTGATTAGAAAGCGTTTCGTATAACTTTTAATTCTTCTGTTCTCAATTAGAGGAATGGTCTGGTTATCCATTCAACTTGGTCCATGTTTTCAAACAAACACATTTAGTTCTATTCATTTTTCAGACCATTAATGCACATAAATGCATACAAATTTCAACTCTACTTCTCATCTAGTATACTCACAAGTATACACGGTGATCTCACACAAAATCACCTAGACCAAGAAATATATGACATTGACGTAATCAGACCTATTTAGATTTTGAGTTAACTAAATATTTTGCCTGTTCCACCATACTGTTCAAACTCGTGCTCGTTTAGTTATTTATTATGAATAAGTGTCTCACACGAAGCGTCAGAAATTCTAGTGTCTCCCAAAAAATATTTTATTACTAAGACTACCGAACGCTCAATTTATTTGAAATTATGAAGTCCGACCTTTGTAATGATTCGTTTCTGAATAATTCTTCCTTCAAACGGGTTCTGTATTCATTCATTAAATAAACTTTTTGTGTCTTTCTATTTGCTTGGTTTGCCAAAGATTCTAGCGGGGTTTCTAACCTAACTGATGGTTCTCAGACTACTCCCTACGATGCTATCGAAGAGATGAATAAATTAAAGGTGATTTCTTAATAATCAGTTTCTCTTTTTTCCTATAAATAATCTTCAAACTATAGTCTTTAGAGTAGTTTATTTTTATTTGTTAAGGTCACTAAGATTACGTCGTTAAGGATATTCAGAAGTTAATACTATAGTTTATTTCATAGCCAGAATCTCATTCCTTAACTATTTTCGATGTAAATCTGTCAAAACTACTAAGTGTGAAATTTCCACTCCACTGGTCACTTTGTACATAGACTGTAATGCTGATGATACTTTTGTCTAAAAACATTTGATAACTGGGTTACCTTGTCTGTTTGTAAGTTGAAGTGCAGTCGCTAGTTATTTGTTCAATACCCGATAAATCACTTATATTTACTCTAAAATAGTCGAATATATCTGTTAGCGGGAAATAGATTGAGTTAAAGCATTTTCCGTGCAGGATGGTGTTGGGATACGCTGATTGGTCATTTAGCTAACCCCTCCCAAGTGGATTCTTGAATATTGTGTAAAATTATAAATTTACTAACGTTTTTTATTGTGATTCCTACTTATATCCAACCTTGTTTATTTGAAATATCATTACGTTCCTGTTCAACCATGTTCTGATTTGGGGACTTATCGAGAAAGTACAGTGTCCAAGAATACTAAGCAATAAAAGTGGCTAGGTCGTAATAAAAGAGAACATAACAATATCTTACACACATGATATTTTTATGTGACTTCGGTTATTCAGTTTAACGTTAGCAACGTATGATTTGGAAGAGATATCCATGTGCTTAAATTGCCACACTGGATCATTACATTGACCTAAAATAGAGTAAGTGAATGGTAAAGGAGTTGGAATGAAAGTAGTATCAGTCAACAGTAAGACTAAATATATGGTGAATATGGTTTGAATAAAATGTAAGAACTAATAGTAAAACACAAAATATAGAATGAAAGAAATGAAATGAACGCGTTTGCGCCACTAAAACATTTTGAGCCACTTTAGAAAATATAACTAATGTTTTATCCCTTTAAAATCTGTACATAACGAATAGTCAAGGATTAGCACCAACTGATTTTTTCAGCTGCAGTCGTAAAACATAAGTACATTAAGTTGATAACATTCCTCTTGAGTCTATCGTTTTGTGGCCATCTTTAAATTTCTTCATGTTGCATCATAATCAAACTGTAGTTAACAGTTGAGCAAACACTCCAATCTGGCTTTTATGATCAAAATAACGATTGTTGGTAAAATCACACAGAATAACTTAACTATATAGTCTTTTCCATGTTCTTCTTTATAGGATATGTATTTTCATAGCTAGATTAATGTGTTATATTATTTTTTACACATTCCTACAATAATCATTACGTTCAAGATTTCCTCGAAATTGTATGTCGTAATAATTTTGTGTATCTAGGAATATGCGATTGATCCTCCAGTTATGCTTGCACCTTGGCAGCGTCGATATCAATTCATATGTGAATCAGGTTTAGTCACAGATTGTCGTGCTCAGCTCCAAGAAAATCAAGATCTGTCGAAGTGGTCGGAAGAAGAAAAGCAAATATTTAAAGAACGCTATTTAGCCACTCCTAAAAATTTTACTTCGATAGCTTCATACCTAGAGCGGAAATCTGTTGCAGACTGTATCCACTATTACTATTTATCCAAAAAGAAAGAAGGTTATAAACAGCTTTTGAAGAAGCATAATGCTCGTCGACGCCGAGCAGCTCAGACTGAACGTGGAGGGGGCGGTAGTGCTGGTGGAGCTGCTAGCAATTCAAATGCTGGCGGGAGTAGTGGAAGCCATAGTAATACTAATATAAACTCGATCCCTCCATCTTCTAGTAATTGCCAAAATGGGCATACGAATATAAATTCCCCTCGTGGAGAGCGTAATGAAGCAGATGAAAAAGATCCAGGAGGTTTAAAAAATTCACAAACTGATTCTTCTGGGTTTCCTGAATCTAATGAAACAGCTGAGCATAAGGTAAAATTATTCACATCATATTCTTCACTTTGTCTTACATTGTAAGTAACTGTTAAACGAGCGTTAATACTTGAGCATCTGGGCTACCTGTTCCTGCCATCTAGATATTTCAACAAGTTATCTATTGTTGTTTGTTTTAATATATCATTATGTTTATTAATCGCATAACCTATTCTGCTGCGTTTCTGAAAAGTGTACAACCTTTCGTTGTCAAAGTTACAGAAAACTCAATAAGAGACAATATGGTTGCTGGCAATGTACAACGAAAAGAATGTACATTATTCAGTTGTTCATTCACTGAAGTGCTAACATCTAACTGGCGATTCCTCAATATTTATCTCCAGGACCGACCAAGAAGAAAGAAACGGAAACTTGTTGAAATACTTTGCGCTGAGAATTCTATATTGTACCAAAATTATAATATTGAATAAAGCTAATAATAATAATAATAATAATAATAATAATAATAATAATAATAATAATAATAATAATAATAATAATAATAATAATAATTAATATCTACATTCAGTTTGGCTTCAAAAATCGACTTCCGAATTTAAGATGTTGAATTTAAACTTCATTTGGGCTACATCAAGATAGATAACTACGGAGTATCAATAAGCAGTATATGGTTCCTTTTGTTAGACTACTGTTGTGTTTTGAGCATCTGAAAATGTCTCACTATTTTGGTCTCGGTTCCTAAATCTGGAATATTTGGATTTTTTTACTCTGTAAGCCATATCGTAAATTGATATGAACCACTAGGTGATAACGCAAAGATTTATTTAGAACTACCCAAAGAAAGAATGCTATTTATTCCTTTGCTTTCAATGAATTATTTGTTTTTATTAGAATTTTCTTGATAATAATCGTGGACTGATCACTTATTTGTCTTGCGTTTGTTTCTGTAACTAATTGTCTTCGTGAGTTTTGGCGTTACAATTATATCAATATCTGTTTACCAAATCGGATTTCCCGTGTTTAGCTTGTACTATTTGCTTCAGGACAATGTCTTATATCTAACTTAGATTGATGAAGAATCTTTTGGTAGCACCAGGCAACAATATCAGGATGTTTAGATTGCGTTTCTCCCTCTCTAAATGAGAATTATTGCTTCGGGACTGGCCTGCGTCAACGCCTGAACTAGGTTTAGGAAATGAAGTGGTCGAACGCATCGACAGCTTAACTTATCTTGAAAGTCTGATCAGCACTAATGGTTTGGTGTCTGACGAAATCTCTGTACAAATTCGAAAGGCTCGTTTGCCTTTTACCGACTTACGTCACTTTTGGCCTAGGTGAGATATCCGTCTATCAATTAAGGGATGCGTATATTGCGCAGTAGTTCGTTCTTTTTTACTTTACGACTGCGAAACGTGGTCATTAAGAGTAGATTATTCTCGTATGTTACTAGTATTTGATCACAGATAGTGATTGATTCCAAATGAATTATCGTTGCTGTATCTTATTTCACGATGCCGAACCTTTGCATTACTGAATGGTGTTGCCACTGGATGTCAGCAATCTTTTGGAAACGACGATGATCAAACACAGAGAGTCGTCCAACAGCCTCAACTTGGAGAGGGCAGGTTTCACAAGCATAGAACGTGTTGTAGATCCGATCTTCTGCAGCCAGACTAACATTACAAAGGCGCCAAAGATGGCCCAGGTTTGCATAAACCGCTCTGACTTTCACTGTACACGAATTCATCTCATTACTCACGCCAACACCAGCACTTACGCAGCTACCCAGATACACGAACTTCTCTTGTTCACCTGACTTTATTCATTAGGCTTTGTAATTTTTTATCACAATATTTTGTATTGTTTTACATGCAGCTTAGATACTCCCTCTCATTTATCGTCTTAATGCCATCTTAGATATCTTTTCTAACCATATTAACAATGATGTATATATATATATATACACCTAAGGATCAAATTTCAATGGGTAGTGTAGTACAATCAAACATATTTTCTTTACTCTTCATATTCTGAAGATCACTGAACATATACTGATGCATTTTCCCTATTTATTTTCAGGATGCTGATGGATACAGAAATAATAAAAAAGAGACGCATCATAGTGGTAGCGGTGGGAGTACTGGTGCAAGAAATAGAGCTGGACGGGGTCGTCCACCACAACATACAAATCATTCTAATATCGATAACCACAATGTTGGATCTCATGGGCGAAATCGTGGTGGTAATAACAGTACTCGAAATAACGTCGAACCTCATAGTGTTCACGTTCCTTCGGGTAAGTACAAGTCGAAGATTCATCTGTACCGTTTTTTTGAAAATATTCATACTTGTTTTGGACATGTAAGTAGTTAGATTAATTTTCTCTACTTTCACATCACTTTTGGATGAGATTTATTGTAATCAAAAGTGGTTTGTCTTTCATATGGCAGTATTTGTTACTCGCCATATAAGAATGCATGAATAAATCTGGTTATTATCTAATAGTATTAAACATCTTTCCAATGAATTCACATTATAAACATGCGAAAATATTGCTAACGATGTTGCTTTTGAAATTTATCCTTATATATAAGATAAACTTATGATTGCGTTTACTCCTCAATGGGTCTGAGCATAAAATACCTTATTAACGTTTAAATTTTACATAGAAGTATATATATGTGATTAATTAAAGTCTTCTAACACAGATAAATTACACTTTAGTTTGAACAGATAAATGCAAGACCATCAGTGGAAACAAGATGGTCGTTCTCATATGTTTAATTGATGTTTTTTGTAAGTTGTAATAAGTGATCTCTGTTCTTGTGTATTTGCAAAAGTGTATATGCTAGGCTTGATAAAAAATAGATAACAGTGGATGTTAGCCTTGTTTATGTGGTTAATCTAGTATCGCCTGTTATGTATTTGGTTTGGAGTTGTATGTTCTCTTTAATAATGGGTAACAAAACCAATTTCTGTGTACAACTAAACATATATCTGACATGGCTAAAAATCGATCACAGTACTTTAGGGTTTCAGTTTCATTTCATACCTTCTACTCCCTTATTCCATTTCATTTTTTCGGAATAGATCCTCTTTGTTTAGACTTTCTCACCTTCACTAACACTACTGTCGTTCCATCTACTTCTTTGTTCATTCTTCTTTGCTAATATGGTGTGACAACTTGGGCCTACACACAAGTGTGTCAGGTTTGACGGTGATTATGACCGACGGACTGTTTTATCATGAGCTGTGTTAATTTAATGAAACACATTTTTATGATCTATTTTGATATTATTGGAAATCTGTTTTATTACATATTGCTTAGGTTACTTATCAGTAGTGTAATTCTAACAGGCTAACAGATTTATTTCAGTCTTTGTTACTGTCATCGATTTGTTCTTAAGTGCAGACTACATCGAAATTTTTTTCTCCCCTGAATGTAGATGTCAAGGTACCTGAACATGATACTCTAGTTCCTACGATTGACAAAGAATCACGGTCTGGAGATAATGTAAGAAGTGATCCTGGAGTACATGTAAGTGATATTTGAATAGTTTTCTTACTTTTTCCAGGGGAAAGCTTCCCAATAAGTTCATATAACTGAATCAGTAGAGTTTCCATCTGTAGGTGGACATGTTATGCTTTAACACATTTCTTTATGTTCTGTAGGACAGGACAGTAACGTGAACTTAGTAATTAATAATTTCTGATGTTCAATGTTTACATATTGCTATGCTGTTGGAAAATATGTTACTGCCCAAGTTTCTACCCGGCGATGAACAAACTATCACTAAGAAATATTGTTCCAAATCTTATGGACTTTTCATTCTTTTAAACAGATAACCGTTTCTTCTAATGCTAATTCTCAGTGTGCAGAATCTGTGACTGATTCAAATAAACTGGCTCAACCCCGAACACATCCTGCAGTGGTTTCCAGTTCTTCAACACGCATCAAGGATTTGATTCACTTTGCTATTGAAAAAAATCTTACCAAGGTATTATTTTGAGTATATTAAATAGTAGTGCATGAAACTATTGTTACAATTAGCAATTTCTAAACAAAATACTTATCTTCACAATTGTATTTACTGATCGTATTTTGTTTGATAGACAAGCCTTTATTATGATGTAGATATTTCTAAGTGCATTATCAAAGTTCTAATTTGAGCTCTAAATATCACCAGCTGTCAAAAGTCAGTGAAAGACATTTCACTTCATCTGATCCAGCGACTTCAAATCTCATTTCACAATAAATAACGGTTATTTAATTCATATACCCATTGAAGGTCTTCATGCACACTTATTTTCCTAAAAATGAAGTTGGAAAAAAAAGTTCCACTGATCTAATTGAAAATCAAATGTAATTCGTTTACTAAATAAATATTTGTTAACTCGGCTTGATTAATTTTGGTTAGTGGTACTGTAGTTAACGAGAACATACGTGGGAACAATCGAAATTACAGAACATCTTACTAATTTGCAAAATACTAATCAATTGTCTTAATTTTGACTGTTCCTTCTGCAAAAAGTCAATCAGTCGTTTCAGGCTTCATTTTCCTGCATTTTCATACCAGTTGCTTTCTTTTCCCTTTTTTCCTTCTGTCAGGCATTCTAATCCTGACTATCGTTATATACTACTCATGTCGATATAGGTAGTACACGCCACGCTCATCCCCCCAGCTGCTCAAACCGTTGTAGGTGCTCTGAGGTCGAATATGAGGCTTAACATTTATAAGCTGAGTGTTATAAACCACTGTTTTACATTGGGTCTAGTACATTTATAATTTTTGAATAAATATCAATCCCTAATCGAAATAAAAATTGTCTGAAAACGTTTATGTAGACTACTTATTTTCAAACAAGCCGTTGGTAAATGGCTTAAATGTATGAACACAGACATTTGTAGACTAATCATTTTGATATACAGCAGATTAATAATGACCTATCTAACGGAAAATTTTCATCGCAGAACTGGATACTTAGACATTATACGATACTTCTCAATCGACCTATAATTAAATCTGTTAAAAGTAAGCTTCAATATCTTAGTCAACTCGACCTTTTAACTACGAAATGTAAAAACAAATCTATCTTACTTCCCACTTTGGAAATAAGGGTGTATTTACGTTAATATACCAATATAATCTCCTATTAATCACGTCGGTGTCTGATAAAATCTCGATACGGATTCAGAAATGTCGATTGGCTTTTGTCAACTTTCGTCACTGGTGGTGTATTTGAGATATTTTTCTGTCAACCAAAGGACTAGTTTACTGCACAGGAAATTGCTTTGTTCTACTGTTTGGTGGTTATGAGGTATGACCATTAAGAAACAAAATCACTCGTAAGGTATATTCTTCGACCATAGTTGTCTCCGAACCATTCGTTTTGGAGCCACCAAATGAGCAATGCTCATATCAAGCATAAGGTGCTAGGTAAAAATAACAAATCAACTGACGAAGTGGTGAATCTCCACCAACTGAGGTTTTTGGAACATGTGACTTATCCTCAACCATCATGAGGTTGGTAGAAAGGTAAGGTTGACCAAACCAAAACATATGATCAGTTCATCAAGGGATTGACATCAGTTCTTGAAGACACTAACTTCTAGTCTGAGCCATGTTGGTAGGTGCGGACTACTTGGTTGGGGTCCGCATGACTATCGGAACCAATGGTTGGAGACTCTAGGTGACATGGTTCAGAATCGATCACAATGGTGTAGGTTTATACACTCTTTGTCCTCCCTTGAACCGTGAGATTAAACTTAATTTATACCTTTCTCTATACGAACTAATTCTTTCTCCCTGTATCATATATTAATAGGATATCTTTTCTTACTACCATTGAAGTAATTATAATTATTTCATATTTTTCTTTCTACGAACTAATTCTTTCTCCTTATATGCAATCTTTCTTTTATATATTACCACCATTGACTTAACCACTCCTATGAATCCGGTGTTCATCTTGTTGTGCTAATGCTGTATGGCAACTTGGACCGACGCATATATGTGCCTGGCCCTTCGTGTTAGCTGACTGACTGACTATTGAACTGAGCCATGCGGTTAAGTGCAGATTTTCTGACCGGGGTGCACGTGACCATCGTAATCGCTGGATGCAGCTCAGAATCTCTTGCGAATGCACAAATGCATTCATTCGTTTTCCCTTAAAACATGAATCCCAAAGTCCCTATACTATTACAATGTTTACTATTCTGAGAAACGTCTTCTTAGTGTTATGTGGTTGTGCTAATATGATGTATCAGTCTGGGCTGTCGTACATAAGTATTGTTATACATTGTATATGACTTACTGAATAGAAATATTAATAGATACTGTGCTACAGAAGTTGTGCAGATTATGTTAGTTTCTTAGAAACCCAATGGTTTTATTCAGATAATGTATATGTTTATTTAACTTTAAAATCTTATTGAGCGCTATTAAACATTTTCATCTCATTGTGCGGGATGATACTCAATTATGAATCAGGTGTTCTTCTTACGGACGACTAGTATTTTAGATTCGAAACACTTTTTAGTATGACACATAGTTGTCTTATTAAATTACGTTATTTATGGAAACTCAGTTAACTTTGGATTAGTTATTACCGTTAACTGACACAAGCCGAGAGATATCCTGCCGGCATGTTTTCTAAAAGCTGAAACTTATGTTATGTAAGTGTTATTTTAATTTCTTTATTATAATTGTGTTGTATTATTATTGTATTACCTCAGCCTTCATCATGTGATAATCAAGTAACCACAACTGAAACTTTGTCTTCCCGTATCTCCTCGATAGGTGAGATATTTTTATTTATGGACTTTCATTTTTCTATTTTCTGTACGGTTGCTTAATACATGCTCTATTCTTTTTTTTAAACGAAAATTTGATTAAAGTGGATTTTATTCGAGTATTTTATCTTCGGCGATAAAATTAGATTATAAGTATAAATTAATAACTTGTAAAAGGTACGAATAAACACAAACATTTTGTTATATTTTTAACAGATAATATCATGGCATTAAATATGTTGTTAATATCAGGGTTGCTTATTAGATTGGTGTACGTTCGCATATTTCCCACTGAAAATGTTGTTTATTATTTCAAGTCACTTATCTAGCATCTCCATCACTCCATTTTGATTTCACTAGATTTCTGCCGAGTTTTATCGCTTAACATTTTTAGTAATAAAACAACACTCATTTTCAAAAATAAATTGCTAATTACTGTACATTTAATAGGTTGTTCTAAGGTTAGGATTTCTTTGATTCACTAGTGACGCTATTATTAACTCATTCTACATATTTTTACTGTGTAACTTATCAAGTGGTTTTATCAAATTGACTCGGTTTCATATATTTCTGTGTTTTATTATTGATTTTTCAGATATAAAGAAATTATAAGTAAACCTCATAGTTCTAACAATAACACGACGTTTTGCTTTGTGAATTAAATGATCTGATATAATTATTATGTCAAAAAGTGCTGTTAACTTCGCACATTTAAGTTCTCCATAGATGTACCTACTGATCAGCAAACACTTTACGCCTAAAACACTCGAGTACCAATCATTAGGTTGCAATTCCAGATTCTGTTTAAGTTACTTACTAGTATCACTAGTTCTTATAAAAAATACGACTCAAAGCTGATTTCATAAATATGTACTTGTTTGCCAAATTGTATTTATTAAAGGTAACTCTATGTACTTCTAATAAGTTTAGTTTTTGTTTGATTTCTTGTTGGTGTTGCCATTGCATAAAATCATCCAAGCTTAGTTATTATTTTAGATAATAAACATTTTTGTATTGATAAATGATGTCCATAATTTACAGGTCCTAGTTCCTCTCAATCTACTTCAACTAATATGGCAAGTGTAATTACAAACTCTAAGCATAATAAAAACCCTTCAACTTCAATTTCAACTGTGATCCCAAGTTGTCTAGTCTCTAGTCATATGGTTACGGATAATTCAGATACATCTATTGTTTTTCCATCGACAACGGCAGCTGAGATTTACGCAGCTGCTGCACGATTTGCGGCTGTTAGCGCTAGCGTTTGTGGAATGGTGAGTGGTATGGTTGTTACTACATTTTTCATATAACCATTAAATAGTTTAATTGTAATTTGTTTGACCTGTAGAAGTTATCTAATTAGTATTTCACTTATGTACGTTTATATTGTATTGTAATCAATAACTCACTGTTTTGTTTGGTATTCAAATAACTGCTAATTCATTTCTTTATTAAACTTAGTCATATTTTTAAAACAATTTTTCTTTGTTTACGTTTATAACTGGCTTAGTTTGGATTACCTTCTTTATAAGAGAAAAATATCAAAAAAAATTTCAGTACAATATTAAATGACAATCATTAGATAACTTCAAGTTATTTCCTAGGTTGCTATTACGTTATGTTTTCCCTCATTACTATTACGAAAACCGATGAATTTCCTAACCGTTAATGTATTTCACACATTTTACTGAATTTTTTGCTAATTCACGAATCGAATTTAACGTCAAAATAATTTTAAATGTTTTCAGAATACTGATCCATCAGTGATGTCTGTTTCGTCCACGGTTGATTCTTCCGGAAGTCATAAACTGGATGTTAATAAGTCATCTGTATCTACTGCTTCCTTATCAAGTAACCTACATTCAAAATCAGAACTGTCTGATTTTACTAGCGTGGATGCAGCAAAAAAATGGATGTCTTCATTTGTCCCATCATGTGGTTCTTTAAGTCTTTCTCATCAAACTTCTGATAGTCGTCTCATGGATCCATCTGCTTCTAGTAAAGCAATTCTTATCGGAGATTTTTTAACTGCGCAACAACTCGATCGTGCCGATTCATCTAATTGGGGTGGGAATCACTCAAATTCACGCCAAGGTAATGTTTTAAAAAAATATTTAATCAGGTCTATATGATCTTCGATTAAACTTATGTTTTTATGTAAGCTGTCATGCTTGATGTATATCTGAGTAGTTTATTGTTTGTTTACTTTGAGAATATGTGGGTAACGAAAAAATGAACAGTTTTTTCTTGACCTAATCAACACAATGCACGTAATCGAAGGACAAAAGACAAGTAGGGTTATTGTTCCGTGTCATTACTAACATATATAATTGAATAAGTGCTTCCGGTGATGTTTCTTATCTATTTATTGAACTTTTCATTTGTGAAGATCTAACTTCTTAAGAGGTAGGTTTTCTTTGCTCGGACATTGTAGTTTCTTCATATAACGCCTGTCTTCGACAGCAATCATCGTTGAAATTCAATGAAAAGTGTGTTAGCATGGTATAAATAATTTTAATTCACCGACTTGCTTGCGGTTCATTAAATGTAATGCATTTTACAAATGAATATCCTGTATTATTCTACCTTGTAAACTGCTATTGCTTCAGTGATTTTCATGAACAACACAACTCAATTTATTGTAATACTGGTGCTAATTAAAATGTAAATGAACGTGTTCATTATTATAATCCGAGTGTACCCATATCATTATATATCGGGGCAGTTTTTTTTGCTACAAGTATGTCAGTTTATTTGCTTTGAATATGAACGATGATCATTCAAAAATAATAAAATCCAATGAAAGATTTCTGGAAAAAGCCGTTGGGGTTTTCAAATTTTGCCAAAGTTTGAGAACACATCCATAGCTGTAACACTAGCTTAATATTTCGCAACTACCTAAACTTCAGTACGTATTTACAATAAGTTGTTTGGCTTGTGCGAACTTATGTTACATATGGCATAAGTGAAATCCATATACAGGATGAATATACTACCCAGATGTTCAATTTGTTTTAATTTATGGCTGATAGACGTTTCCTTAGAGAATATCCATGGGTTACTGTTATTCGTTTATGAATCCCTTCGGTACATTGTTTGGGTATATTAGAACGATGCAGAGGTTAGATTCAAAGTATTAGATGGAAATGGCAATCGGTTCATAGGGTAGTAAGTCTTCACTGACATTTGTTACATATGGCTATTTATTTATTTTAACACATAGATATTGGTACAAGGAGGCATCAAATACATATGCGCCACACAAATCTCATTCGATATGTGTGAGGGCTGTGATACTGCCCGGCTGCCCAAACCGAAGCAGTACATATAGCTAACTACTATCTACCACGTACATCGGCGCATAATAATAACTGGTATAGCAATTTTTGATAGACATTAGGGGTGGTCAAACCAAATATTGGTACGAATTCGTGAGGTCACTGACTGCTGGGCTGAACCGTTGTGGTAGGTTCAGACAACCGATTTGGGGACCGGCTGTTTATCGTGATGAGTGACTGGGTGATGTGTCTCAAAATCCACTGCAATGGCGGAGATGCACTTTTTGTTATTTCTTAAATCTCGAGTTTCAAAATTGTCCTGTGTTTTTTATTTCCATGAACCCATTCTTTCCTGAGTTGTATCGTCTATATTTATATTTTCAATTGCTGCTGATACTGTTGATGATTCTACCACATTAAATTTTGTGTTGGTAATTTTATCTCGCCGTGTTGATATGTTATGGCAGCTTGAACTGATGTGGATATGTTAGATTCTACGTTGCAAATGACTTGCTGATTTGAATTAAGATAGACAAACTTAGGTTCGAATCAGTGACTTAAAAAGTCCAAATTAAATTTCTAACACTATATTGGTTGCTTAGGTCCAACTTCCCGTTCTTCATCTAAACACTGACCGAAAAGTAGAAAATATTTAATTAATACTGGGTAGTGGACGAGAACACAAGTGGGGACAATCGAATGTATTTGAATACAAAATCTAACAACCATAAAGTAAATACTTCATTTTAATCGTTTAAAGATCCCCATCATATTTTTTTTAAAAACTAATAATTGGACGAAGAATATTCTTTTCGATAAGTTCTGTTCAAGTTCTATGCTTTTATATCCAAATTAATAATCCGAAAAACGGCCAGGTCAAGGGAAAAATGCATCGTTTAAAGCATGTGAATTTAGGAGAACCAACGAAATAAAAATGAATTCATGCTATTCTGCTAGAATGTTTGTTCTTGCTCTTTTCAAAATGATAAAGGGAACTATGTGTATGAATTTAGGATTGTTAAACAGAATACAATAAAATTGTTAATGTTGACAAGACTCATATACAATGTTAACTTGAACCAGCTTATGCGTTAAGTGAAAATTTAAGATCCGTGATCAGAATAAATATGGGTCAGATAGAGTGAGAGAAATAATAGTAAAATTACAATTCGATCAAATGTTTAGTGGAAAAATATATTATGTAGAAAATTTTTTGGTAAGGTGGGATGGATGTGATGTGTATTAATCATGTATTGGGGAGATTAATAATGATGTTTCACCAATAGTACTACTAATAATAATACAAAGATTTGTGCGTAAATATAACAGACAATTACATTTGACTACAAAAGGTCATACGTATAATAGTCAAATTAGTCATTCAATGGCTAAGATTACTATTAATTGATTGGCGTTGCGGTTGTACAACGGAGGGATGCGATTGAAGATATTTCTTTAGTACACATACCTCCTGTTTTTTCCCCATCCGGATCGCTACAGCTACTGAAGGATTTCAAGTCTGATAAGCTTTGCCAAAGATTCTCTGACCCGATAAATAACTGAAAAGGATTGGTTTATACTGACATTATGACCAGTTTGCACTAGATGGGCCAATATCGAGCTGTTCACTTTCTTCACCAGACCTTTGCTTAGCCACACTGGGAGGTGTGCCTTAAAACTGACAATTTTTCAGTTTACAAATTTGGATATATAGTTGTAGAACCTGAAGAGAATTTATCGGAAAGAATATTCTTCATTCAGATATTAGTCTTTTAGATACTTCATTTGTAAAATGTCAATCAGTTGTCTCAAACTTCGATGTTCCTTCTGCAAATGTCAGTCAATCGTCTCAGAATTCATTGTTCTTTTGATTCTACATCAATCATTCTTCGTTCTCATTCTCTTTTCTTCGATCTTCTTGAACTTCTGCCACCACACATTTCCCTTTCGTTTGATGATACATACTATTTATTCTGTAATCCTTATAAAGATAAAACAAAAAAGCTGGTGAATATAAGAGACCTTTGGTTGTTTTCATTTATATTTTAGAATCCTTTTTGATTGAAGACTCTTTGCTGTTTTTTTGTCAAAATTTTAGTTCACTTGTATATCATATTTTTGTCATATTTCTTTCATGCAGCTGATTACGCTGGATCCTATCAAGTTTCTAGATCTATTGATCCATCTACCTTACCTGTCTGTGTTAGTCATATTTCTACAGCTTATGGGAATTTTGATTGTCACCCAGTATCAGATTTTCGAACATCATCAAGTGTTTCTGGTAAGTATTTTTCCCCTTATATTAGAAACCAAGATTTTGAACTAAATGAAAAATATTCTATTCATTGAATAAGAAAAAGAAGAATTCAGCGAAGAAAATTTTCTTTTCGACGAAATCATTTACTTAAGCTGTACATTCGTATGTATAGTTATATGGAAAATGTATGTCTATAGAAGGATAGAATGGATTGTATCACAAAAATGGATTCGACAATAAATAACAAATGAGGTTAACGTACTAATCAAGGGGTAAGGAAGAACAAAATTTAAGGGTCAGATAATAGTCCAATTGACAGATATGATGAAAAACAACGAAGGTCATAATAATAGACTGAATAATAATCAAGAAAACTTGTAAAAGGTAATAATAATAAATGATTAGAGTTTACAGTGCAAAATAGTAATAATAAAAGTGCATTAAAAAACACCTAGAAACATACCCATTAAGGGAATTAGGGCCAGGGAAGGATGAGAGGTTGGACAAATCGTTTCTGCACGCAAAGTTCAGGCTTTAGTTTGTGGATTGCCAATGCCTCTACGGTGCATAAAATATTGATCCGAACCCCCTTCGATCCAGTTCCTTTGACTCTGTAAACTATTTTAAACGAAGAGTCTTTTGGAGCGATATGTCCACAATTGATTAAGTGCTCCTGTATAGAACTCGTGATTGTTTTTCGCTCCCCTTTCAAGAGCCAAGCCGGATAATGTTCCGAGATGCGTTTGGATAATGATCGCTTTGTGCGGCCTATGTAACATGCCCCACATGAGCAAGTAAATTTATAGATACACATTGAAGTGGCCCAAAGCGAAAGTTTGTCCTTAACACACCCCAGAATGGTAGGTCGGCTAGAGAAGATGATTCGAAGCTTAGCTGCGTGGAATGTTTTATTCAATGATTTCGAAATCCGTTTATTTAGGATTTCAGCAGCCATATCTCCCTTAAATTCCATATTCATAAATTGAGTTTTTTCTCTACTGTCAATGCTTTGTCATGAGGTCTAGGTACCAAGTTTCTATCGATGAATCTCGGTGAATAACCATTTTTGATGAGGGTCTGTCGAAGATAAAATAGTTCCCCATCTATTGTGTCATTGGAACAAATTCGCCTGATCCTTGAGAATAAAGAATGAATTTAATTTCTTTTTCTAATTAATGGAACCCAACTGTGGAAGTTTCAGTGTAAACTTTCACTTTGTGTACGGTCTTATTACAAACTACCAATTAACATTATATTATTTTTATGACAAATTTTACTGATTTTTATTTTTCCCTTGTTTTAAATAGAAAAATGCTTGGGGAGTGATATCCTCGCTGAACATGCTATTAGGTTGGCTATACATGCCAAAGCTGCCGCTGCAGCAGCAGCTGCGTCGTCATCGGTTAATCAGTTTGATGGTCGTGGTTCATCTGTGTCAGAAAACAATTTTAGTGGTCCAGAACGCTGTGTATACTCACCTCTGTCTCCAAGTCCTGTTAAAGTAAGATGTACTTTTTGTTTATAGCTATCCCAAAATGTATGGTTTCATTGCAATATTTTCTGCTTATTCGATAGATATCTCTTTGAATTTGCGTAAAATCTCAAAAATATGTCTAGTTTTGTATCAATTTTTCTTTTTAGGCTGATAGTTTATTGCCACCTGCCAACCATTCTACTCCTCCGTGTCAACCTAATCCACTTTCGGGAGTTCCAGTTTCTAGAAATGATACCAATCACCAATCGACATCTTCATTTACTCGCCAGCTAGATAATAGTCTTAATTCTATATCTTTCAAACCAGAAAATGATCCTAACATGTCCATAAATTCAGATCAGGTGGCATCATTTATTGCAAACGCTAATAAATTATATCTAGAAGAACTTGGGTCGTATACTTCTCGTGATCGATCTAATCCTATACGGACTCTAACGGGTAACGAATCTTCTCAGTTTTATGGTGTTATACAACAGTTACGGCAGCCAAAGGAGGAAAGTAGTTCTCTCCACCTTCCAAGTGCTTGCAATGTGTCTGTTACTAATATCAACATTCCAAATCTGAATTCTAGAGATCAGCAGTCGGAATATATGGGTATGTGTCTACCACGTCCACATTCATCTGAGGGTGCCGGTAATCATACATTTGGTTCATACATGAAAAGTGAATTATCAAGAGGAACTCCATCAAGATGTATAGTAAGTAAGATTCTTTTCGCTTTTATGCTATCCCTTTATTCACTGAATATCAGAATATTCACAGTGGTTTTTCCTTGCAAATTGCTGATGCTTTTTGTGATTTATGAACTAGTAGTATTTATAACCTTGCTAAATTAATCTAATTTTAATAGACAATGCAGTAGTTATTAGCTTTAATAGTAATATAACTTCCGAAAGCTTCAAGATCATAGATACCATATGTGTCCACGCTAAGTTACATGGGAGGAAGGTTATTCAGTCACTCAGCTACAACGTGGGACCAGGCGCATATATGCATTCGTCCAAGATGTCACACCTCATTAGCATAACAAGATGAACACCAAATTCATAGAATTATCTCCTTTAATGACTGTAATATATACAAAAGGATTGTATATAAAGATATGTTACAGGGAGAAAGAATTAGTTCGTATGGAGAAGGGTATAAAGTAATCTCACGGTTTATGGTAAGACAGAGATTATTAATTATTAAGTCAAACCTTGGCAATGATACCTAAAATGAGAATGGATAAAGATTGATATGCAGACACGCGCTCAATCAGACTCACACATGATTTTACATAGTGGATTGTGTCTAAATTACAGTGAGCAGACAAATAATACAAAAGTTGAATGGGCTTACTACAGGTTAACAAACTCTGTTCTCATTGAAATGAGAATTTGAGTTTTATACGTGTCTATATGAATTAAACACAATTGAGAATAAAAATGTTCTTAAATTGTGCTACTTTTTCACTTCAAGTAACCCGTTTCGGTGTAATTCGTGTCGTATAGCTCTATTACCTATCAGTCTTTTCTCAGACGTTTAGAACTGTGTATCGCTCCTATATTCCAACTAATGCTAGTAAAATCATCTAAGTAAATTAAGTATTTACCGAGTTTATATAAAAACCGAATTGTTCGTTTAAATACATCCTACTTATATCATTGACGTATAATGTAACTTATTCTTTTTTGTGATATTTTTTGGCTTAGAAGGACGCAACCAAATGTTTTACACTCTTGGTACATTTTAGCGAAATTAGTCAAGTTTGGGAAGAAAATAAGTTATAATATAGGGTAACAAAACGACTTAGCGAGGGATTGATTGATTACTTAATCAGCAACTCAGTGATCAGAGGATGAATAACCAGTAGATGACAACTTTATTCGAGACAAGTTTTTGTCATTTAAATCGCTAATGTTTTGGTTTTCTGTAACGCAAGAGTGTTTGCAATTTTTTACAATCTCTTCATTTCCAGTTAAAATTTGTCGATATTCTTTACATATAAAATTTTCTAAGCACTATTCACCCTTTTATTTTTGTAATGTGCTTGTTCATAAACTCAGCCATCTAAAGGTCAATACGATCGCATACAAACATCTAGTAATCCAACTGAACTCAGTCAATTTGTATCAGATTCTGTCAACCCGATTAATAATATAGATTCTCATGTTTCCTCTAATACAAGCAAGCGTTCGTCTGTGCATGGGGGTTTGAATACACTAGAAAGCCATATTAATAAGGTAATGTAGATTCTTTTGTATATTTTTAAATCTTTGGGTAAAAAAAAGTGTTTCTCTCTGATATTCGGTGCTGTTTTTTCCGTTTACGACAATCATAATTATAATCGTTAAACACTAAATTGATAACCCAAAATTATATCATTACTTAGTTTATACGCGTCCTAATTTGCTGGCATTTTTCTACGTATTGAATAAGTCCGTATTGGTGAACCTTTTTGTGTGGAAATCTTTAAACTAGTCTGTTGTGATAATAATAATAATAATTTTTATAACTATCGAATGCGAAATGTCAGAACAATGCTTTTTCAATGAAACGAATTCTCATATGATTATTTTTTGCTTCAGGAACAATAAGTTATAGCATTCATCTTATTTCGTAAAACTAGTGAAATGGAATTGTAGGTCGAGTGCTTTAAACATTCGATTTTCAAATGTTGGGATATAAATTTAATGCTACTTCTGTTTAGATATATGATTAGATTTCTTTACATATATACCATGCTTAGTTCCATTAGTTTTGAAGAGAATTAACTAGAAGTTAGTTTTATCACGACTACTGTATTTTGTGTAAGTTAATATTTGGAACTGTTAAAGTTGTCAGTATTCTTCGTCGTTTCGTTCTTCCATGATATTTTTGACTACTAGTTCAAAAGTTCATACACTATCTATTTCAGGCTATTACAGAGGAAATACGAGCACAAACAATTTCAAGAAATTCATTTTTTCCACACAATATATGTTCGCCTCATCTACCCAGGACTCCATCACCTATTAGCAAACACAGTTCCACACGTAATTCAGGTTTGTGTGCATGAAGTTTTATGTCTAATCATTGGTTGTTAATATATTACGTTTTGTTTATAAAGCACTGTATTATTTAGCTAACTTTGGTATTCGGTATATATCTGACAAAAAAAACTAATGGACTTTTGTGATCTGGTTACTGATATTGTTCATGGAAGAGAACATGAGATTTAGATATTATGCTGTTTTTCATCAATATTGACCACTTTATTATGTCATTTTTCTGTTCATTAAATGCAATGGAATTAGACAGCATTATTGATTTGACTTTTAACCCGGCTCATGTGTGGATCAATTTGCGTTACCATACCACATCAGAACAGCGAAATGAAATTACCCAGACAAATGCCCAGAGTAATAGAATTAGTATAAGTAAAAACATAGTTAGGCATAGATTATATACTTAGAGAAGAAAAAAAATCCATTTGAAGGATAAGAGGTAAAAACTTTCGGAAAAATGAGTAGATGTTTCTAGGTCACTGTAATCGGATGCGTTGCTATCGTATCGAACGTCTCCAACTATAAGTCAATTTATTTCCAAATTTAGTATTTAATTTATCGCCACCTGACTGTTATCATTCTAATACTAATCAGCATATGTTCACTAGTGACTGGGTTCAAGAAGTATTTCTTGAGGTTTTGGTGAGAAGCAGTGATCAGTGGATATAGTAACTCAATGAAGACAATGGTGGACGTGTCGCTCAATTTCGTGGATGAGTTGAAGTTTGACATTAACACCATTGTATGCCGGCTCAGTTGTTTAGTGGTTAAGCGTTCGCGCGCGAGAACGATATGTCCTGGGATCGTGGATACTCACTGCTGAGGAATTCTACAATAGGACGAAGCGGTCGTCCAGTGCTTTCAGGTTTTCCGTGGTAGTCTAGCTTCAATTGACTCATGAACTCAACTATTGAAATTATGATTATTTTTTTTGGTGAATAATCTATTGTATTGTGAGTTATTTTGCTACATCTTCGTGTATATACATTTCATATGTAACGTATTCAAATGATGATATTATATTCTTATCTTTTATCTTTTTGTACCATTAGTTTAATTTCTCGTTTTTTAAATAATAAACTTATGTCCCAGTCATTATTAACGATTTAATCTCACACTACTTACAAGTAACTGGAAAATGGACATGTAAACGTTTTCTGTTATTTCAGCATGATTATTTTGCTGAATTTTACTATTACATTTAGTCTCTTAGCTATTATATTTCACAAACATGTGTAAAAATGTTTTGGCAATAATAGAAAATTTGGGCATTGTATACCCAAACTTTGTGAATTCGCTCTTTCTTAAGTATATATTGATTCGAAAATTTTGAAATTGAGTTTTATTTTAACGTGTTAATATCGGAATTCCACTTTTATGCAAATATAGATTCTCAATTTCATTTAAATGTTCCGCTGAAGAAGCAGGATCGTTCTATTTCGCGCTCTCCCGGTATGGTGAACAGTTCAATGATATCAGGTTCTAGAGATTCTTTCAAAAATTCTACTTCTAAAATCCCAGCACCTGAACTTCTTGCGGCAAAACTTCCTGCTGCTAACAATGAAGACTTTTTAAATAAATCAAATCAAAAAGGGTATACACAGAAGCGAAAAGTATCTGAAATGGTCAAAAGTAATTCATTGTCTAGTAATATTGACTCTGCAGTAGACCATTCTACTTCGCCAGATGGTGGTACAGAATTTCCAGGATTATTACAAATAGACTTAGCTGTAAGTTTTTAATTTTATCTGAATATAACCCTTCAAGTTTATCATTGTTATATTTATTTTTATACTTTATTCTAATAAACATATTTTTCGTTCATTCATCTAAAATAATCGGATTTCTTTTTCGTGATTCCAAAGTGAGTGTACATTTCTGTGCAGTTACTGTTGCGAGGTCAATCCCCTAAGACGTGTGATATTTCAGTGTCACATCAGTGGGTCATTTTTCGTACTATCTGTTAGGACATGTATCTGCTATGTATTCTCAAATGTTTCGTCAGATTTCTTGCATGGTCTCATACTTAGACATTAGGATTGTCAAAAAAGTATTTTTGCGTTCCTTAATGGACATAAATCTACTGTAAATTTAACTAAGTACGTTTATACACAGATATAATAATTGACGTTGGAAACAAATCGCTGGAAAAAATACACCATTGACTGGATTTAAAGTCTTAAGTACTGACCTTGTCTTAATGAACCAATCATTACATTACCGATTTCATTGTCTTATTTTTGTGTTTTATCATGTATTCTTTTCTAGGCCTCTGATTTTTCACCTAAGGTTGTGTCGTGTGCAATGAATTCACATCTTAAGGATGTTCCTCACTTATTGTCATGCAATACTAGTTCTAATTGTATTCAATCTGTTAAAGAATGCGGACGTGATGATTCCCTAGATCGCTGGTCACATACATATGGAAATGAGAAAAGTATAGACTGCAATCATAGTTCAACGGGATTGCTAGGAAATTATGATGTCGACTCATTAGATTCAGCTCCGTTAAACTCGCTATAAACGTCTATTTTGTATTTATGAATAAAGAAATATATTAATATGTTTTGAAACATTGCCATGGTTATATATGTACTGTAAAAAAATGTTAGACTTTTAGTTTTTCTTTTTAAATTGATTTGGTTCCAAATCTGCTTGTTTTAATCTGACATTTATTTAAAATATCAAATCGCCAAAACTTTGAATTTCAGTATCATTTTTGATGTGTGTCCTATCGATTCATCGGATATAGTTTATTATTTTGCACTTATGTTTTCCTTTTTGTGGTTCACATTTTTTGTAATTTTTTGAATACATGAATGCTGTTGGCTTACAGACAGTGCAACAAATTTTATTTTAATGACACATGTCTCTAATATATGTGTATGTATGTTGCCCCATGGACAACTTTGTTTCATTTTCTAACTCCCTCTTTTTCTATCTCTGTGTTGTCCTCAACGTACTCTATTCCTGCTTTTGAAACATACCGGTTTAAAGTTCTGTTTGTCTAAATCGACTAACTTATCGCATACAATAACAAAAAGGGTGCATCAACGTAGTTCGAGTAATGTATGCACAAAAAGAAAGAACAATTAAACTTCTATTTTACTGGTTTCATATTGATATTAATTGTTAATCAGGTTTATAATAACAATTAACAATACTGTTTTAAGTGATTGTATGAAATAGAATTGTTCAAATGTTTACTCATACTAGTCGTTTTTCCTCTTATTTACGTTACTTTATAATCATTTGCCTTTTGTGTAGTTTTAAGTTCATGTTTGATTTGTTTCCAAATTTTAATCAGGTTTCCTTCGAAAAACGCTCGGTTTACTTATTTTCATTGTTATCCTGTTTAGATTTATTATAATTAGCACAACAACGATGTGATTTCCTCTCTTCCACATTATTGTTATACTTGCATTTTGACATTTTGTTACCTATATGACAGTATAATTGTATTTTTATTGAACGTGATATGGTTGCGAATATAGAATGCTTTCTGTTTACTATATCCTTGGTTGTTGGACCAATCTTGTAAGACATTTTATGGGCCGTTTACTGAGACGATTGTTGTTGTGGAATCACTTTCAAACATTTAGATCAGTAACTGCACTTATAGAACAACATGCTTACTGTTATAATTTGTCGTTTGAATGCTTATTGTCTTGGCTCTTTTAATGCTACTTCTTGTATCTGGTCGTCGCTGATTGTTATGTCAAATCACAGACTGAGCATAATTCATGTCAATGAAATACAAGAATATCGTATATTATACAGAATAAAATATCATACGACAAAACAAAGCCGAATACTACATTGAGTAATCATTACATTGAATCAAAACGGAAGTACTCTTGGACTAAACTCATAATGAGTAAACAGATCAAAAATTGACTTTTGTTTTCATCATATCACTTAGCAAATGAAATGGTTATCCTAATCGACAATACATTCACGGAATTTTCATTCGTCTTGATATATGTCAATGTACCGTAAAATATGCTCTTGTGTAGATTCCCTTGAATTTTTAAGAGCAATTCTAAAAAAAATATCAGTTCAGTAACTATTAAGTAGCAAGAAACACTGGCCAATTTCACAAGGAAATTATTCTGTAGTAGCCGCTTACTATCTAATATGGGGTCAAATCCAGCGTCTTTAGGTTTTGTGGCAAACACTGAATTATAGTGCAGCAGTCTGCTTATTCATCAGATCGTTTTCTTGCAGCAGATCATGATCTCACCTGAGAGTTAATTGCAATCAGTTGCTAATTCCTGAATTATATTTTTCGTTGGGTGATAGTTATATGGAGTTTGTGAACAATATAGAAAGTCGTCAAAACGGTGTCAGATGTTATACTTTTTTGCATGTATTTAAAGTCCCGTTCATTTTGTTGAGATTAGTTAAGACCACTCAAAAGTAGGTTTGTTAAGAATCACCAAATTACAGTTTTACTAGGCCTGTCTATAATTCAGCGAATATACTCGTACTGTAAACGTTCAACCGATGTGTAATCTAAGCATATCAATTATCCACCTAAGTGGTGCTAACAACAACATATTTTCATAAATAATTGTATGATAAGTACTTGTAGTTACAAAAAGACATAATTTGGTAATTTTTTGAAAGTAAATATTCGTCGGTTATGAAATCGTATATCGCCCTTACATTCTGGCTGGACTTTTCATCCCCCATACATTATCAAATAGCAGTTTACAACCTTACACTCTGTGTTTATGACTTCGAATATGAGGTTGATATAAAAAGAGAAACCTAATGGACAACAGCTTTTTTCTTAAATCAACCAGCTAATTCTAGTATATTTGCTATGTGACTAACTGTGTTTCATTTTATTTAAGATTATTCAGCTGAATCTACCTGGACCGGAAAGTTAGTAATCGCTGTAATATTCCAATCCAGTACCTTTGATTTAAAGTGTCAACGCATTATACACTTAGCTACAGAGTCACTCTGGATGCATATATAACAACAGAAGCTGATCCTTTGTATCTGTAACTATAAATTAAAATCCTTACTAAATAGCTAGTTGTCTAGAATCCTATAGTGAATTTGTTGATGCTTTACAAACTTCGTGAGACATGATACGTGCATTAAAAGCATATTATAAAAGTGTTGTCTAGAGAATGAAATAGGTACTGAAACACAAATTGTTTAGGAAAAGTTGGCTTTGTGAGATGTAGATAATTCAAGCTTCAATGAACACTGAAATAATTGTATGATTTTGATAAATGAAACAAAGCATATTGCCGGCGCTTATTATGCGGCTACAAAATAAATCTGGTCGGTGCTTTCCTGATGTTATATGGTACTGAACTCTGGAAACGAACGTGAGAAATCTTGAAGGGCTTTCTTCAATGTTATTAGCTTTATAATAACAGTTAAGTGGCCTGTACGTATTTACCTGTTAATATTCACCTATTATGCTGAGATAATTTGAAAGTTTTTGAGCGAGATATCATTCAAATTTAAGAAGCACCACTATATTTTGTCTATAATTCTGTTTAGGATGCATTTTACGTAGTTCAGTAAGTATGATGTACTTATGGCTATCAGAATAGAACTATTCATTTGAGATTTTCGGTGTCAGAAACAGTAGATGTCTTTAGAAACAGTGTTGAATACTGTGAGGATGATTCCGAAGATCAATTATGAAAAGTAGATTAACCAAAAGAGAACATTATGCTACTAAACTGAGAAAATTAGACAAAAGAGCCTGAACTTATGGGACACGGACAAATAAAGAAAGAATACCATCATGTGGAAAATAATGAACAGCACGATATAAAGCGAGCTCAAGTTACGGAAGGCCTATATAAAGAATTGTGCAGACACAAGAGCGCCTAACCAATAACTGTTTAGACATCCCAACCATAAAAATAGATATCTATGCATGTGTAGTAAAATATTGTCTCAGGTAAAAAATACAAGGATGGCTGTTATGACATAAAGTCATATGGTCTACAAAAAATAAATGGATTTGGATAGCGAACGACAATACATAGGACAGTGAAGTCTCGATGAATGTGAAAAAGAGCAACGTGCAGATGATTAACACTATAGGGTTCAAAAATGGTCTGCGATCGTTGGATATGAAATAAAAAGAGGTAAGATCAAGAAAAAAGCAGTTATTAGACCCTAGTATTTGTGTTGTCATCAGTGTCTAGATAAGCCAATTGGCTTCAATAAGTTATATAGCTACAAGGGGACGTTGTCTTTATAATAACTCGTCATTTTGCTCTTTATTAGCAGAACTTGATCAATCGGTTTTCGAGAGAGTTCAAACGATATAAAATCTATTCAAATGCATCACAAACTGCTGTTTTAATACGGGTATAAAATCTCTACATATTGAAAGGTATATCAAAAACACACCCTTATAACTTTATGCATGTATACGTATTGGTTTAGAGTTTCTTCGACTAAAGACCGTAACATCCCATCGTTTCTTCAAAGTCAAATTATAACTCACTGGGAAAGCGAAATTTTGGAAGCTAGCACATGGTTTGTTTTTGGGGTTTAAATAAAAATAGACAAGTACTGAAGTATACTTTAACTTATTTTTGTTCCGCGCTTATGTATATTGAAAGATTATTTGGCGCCGTTTTCTCAATAAGTGATCCAACCCACATCAAGCATTGAAAAGGACAAGCTTGTTATTCTAGTCTGGTAGATGAGTAAAAATATCTCTTGTAGTGAAGATTGAACATTGAGTGTCAGTAATAATGTTTATTATTTTAGCTATGGGCAAATAAGCGTTCAATTAGAAAAAAGAAATGAAAAAATGGCCTGTACTCACTTATGATTCCTACTTTTTTTATTTTATAAATACTACTAGTTACTTTATTGTTATGCATTTTTAAGCTGTATTTGTGGTGTTTTTAAAAGTTTACCCACAAATCATGTGTCATCTGACGCTTCAGTTTTTCTAACTATTTACGATTCATAAAGATTTCGATGAAAATTGCATATTAGGTTTTGTAGCACTCTAATAACCATAAAACTCTCTCCTAACTACTTGCGTATGTAACTAAATATATACGTTTATTTTAAAATTGGTTCGGATGATAATTACAAAAGACACTGTTTCTAATATAATTTTATCAGCTTTTCCATATACTAACATATAAGGCACCATAAATTGACTACGTATATGGAATATTAACGAGATTTTCAGCTTATACTGGAAAATATTAGGAACAATGTGTTTCTTATTAAATTTAAAACGCTTGTGGTCTTAATTAATTAGTTATTTCATGGAGGAAAAACGATTTTTCATACCTCAGCCGCCAAACACTTGGAGTAATATATGTTTAAAACAAGAGCCTGTTTAAAAAATGTTAAATTAAAAAGATATTTGTGATTAATGTATTCTTTTGACTTTGACCAAAGGAATGATTTACGATAAAAAATGAGCTAACGTACTATGGAACTAAACAATTAGCTTCCCTCACAAATTAAATGAACTCAGTAACTCCTAAACTCGTTATAAACTTAATTATTACAACGCTTTATTCAACTTGCACAGTAGGTCATCTAGCTGTTTCTCTATTTAGTCAACAGTAAATACTTCATTCAACAACATGCGGTATGGAATTCTCAAATAATCAACTGTCGGCAAAATCATACCGCCGGGAGTTCAAAGACATTGAGGTGACATTATTATTCCAGCGAAACTTCCTTGATCAGTGGCAAGTTAATGTTGGCCTAACATTCTTATACATCAATGCAAGATTTTGGCTAAGTGTTCTAACCTATATATATTGACATGGGCACATTTATCCAAATCCGGCATGTACTGGCACATATAAATATACTGGCTGAAAAAAACTTTATTTATAATTATTTCAGTCATCAATACGCTGTTATTCATTTACGGTACATGTAGTTTTTGCAGATAATTATTTAGGCAGTCATCTGAAATAGTAATTTCTAGATCCAGTTTTCGCTTTTTAAGTTTAAGTATTTCATTATCTATTTGCATCAGTTCCAGCCATAAAAACGAACAGTCAGAGCCATTATTAATGTTTCTGAATGAGTTAGACGCATTTAGCAATGGCATACAGTTAGAATGATTTGAAACTGAAGGAATGCAAAACACATTATTTTCATTCGTTGACAGTTCAAGGTTTTTAGAAGCTTCGGTCAAGAACGAAGACGAATTTCCACTCAAACTTGATTCTTCTGTCAAACCGTCACCACTGTTTTCATTAGAATTTTTATACGACATATCGGTGTCAGAATAATATATTCCGCTCGTATTACAAAGTGATTGATTTTCAATTAAATGTTTATAGTTCGATAGAAAATTCGCTGTTGCGTTTGTGAAAATCTGGCTAAGTAGACCATTAGTATTATCCTTCTGTGATATAGATTCGCCTTCATTATAATTTTTTAGAATTGTTTCGGTTGGGTCGTAATCGAAAAAATTTTGAGGAGAAATATTAATCTCTTTATGAGCATCTTTGGGACTTGAAATTCGAACGTGATTATTTTCTAGCAAATCTATGTTGCGATTGCAACTAAAAGACACGATTTTTCCACATGCAAAAGCCCCGAATGATTCTGTCAATGAATCGTTTTCAAACTCACTAGATTCTGAAGGTCCACTCACGCGTTCTCCATCTTCTGAACTATAATCTTCTGATGTTTCCTCTAAAAATTTCATAAATTCAGAATCTTCTTTCTCCGGTGTATAAGAAGTCATTATCTGACGCCTGAACTCACAGATTTCAGAAAAAATTGTCTCCAGGTATCCTCGGCTGTTTTCATGAACTTCTCTGATACCATTTTCAGTGTATTTACATTTTTCCATCGAAAATGGTCCACACGAAAGACGTTGTTTAGCCCTACTTTTAGTTCTTTTCCACCAATTTCTGAGCTGAATTGGAGATTTGCAGCTAGAATCAGGAAATTTGTTTTGTAACTTTTTTGAAATGTGCTGCCATAA